GGGGGTAGTGACGCGTTAGTTCTCGCTCGCTCTGAGCTACTTCGACTTCTCACCACGCCAGATGTGATATTCCGAACCATCAATGCTTTTAGATGAATTCAAATATATTTTATAATCAAAAGAATCGACGGGGGGGCCATAGCCCCCTTTGACGTGTAGGACCCCTTCTCGTGGGCTCCAGCCAGCGGAGCCTGTCGACCTAAATTATTTTTCAAGTCATATATGTCCTGTAAGATGAATAAAGAGCAATAAACTGGGGAGAAGAATAAAGATCACGAATTGGCAAGGACGGCTATGCAATGCGCCTCTATGTCTATGGCACACAACTTCCCTTAGAGTCTCTTGCCCCCCTCCCCCCCTTTCCTTCTCCGAACTCCGTGAATCGACCGGACTATCGCTGCCCTATTTTTCATTTTTTTTTTATCCCTGCTTCTGGAACTGAAAGAAGCGGAGCAGGTGGAAAGAGAAGAGACTCCACAACGTCAGATTCAATGCCGTCTCCGCCACACTCACATCGGTTTGAGTTTGGTTCAGCCCACGGAGGAGAAACGAAAAAGAATTTTTGGAGTCTCGGTTCCCTCTCGTCACGTCCGCGGATGGATCCGTCGAATCGCGTGTCAGCTTTAATCGACGATTCGGATTCGGCGAATCCTGTTCAAAAAACTCTTCACTCGGTATTATTTACTTCTTTGTCTCTCCTTGAATGTTCTCGAGCCATTTTTTATGTTGAAATACGCCTCCGAATTTGAGGAAGTAAATACTTGCCAGATGATTGAATTTAGAGGGAGACATCGCTTGATAGGCATCGAGCCGATTCGAAAAGCCTCGAAGTCGAGGTTCCCCCGGGGCCGGGTCCCTCCGGCTGCGTCCCGCAGCGCTCCGCCTGGGTTCCGACGTCCCGGTTAGGACTCTACTCGCGGGCTCCGTCGGGTCGCGCTTCCTACGCGGAGAAGCAGTCGGTCGCCGCGTTCTCCATCGTCTGTGTCACTTTCCCGCTGCTCTCGAGTTTTCTGCCACGGTTTCGCCGTTGGGCGCGGTGGAACGCCGAGAGAGACGTCGATTCGAGTGCGGAACAGCGTGGAAAGAGAGGGAATCTCGCGGGTCGTCGAGATTTCAGTCGCCTGTGGGAGTCCCGGCAAGAATACGTCGTAAATTTGTTCCATTCCCCATTGTTTCTACGTTGACGATGCGGATCGCGCCCTTCACGCTTCAGGGGGCCCCGCCGACGACAGTACCGCCGGGATTGGATTATCCCCGGATTCCAGAGGGATCAGCATTCGGATCTCGGACTCGGGCTTCATCGGAGATGGGTTTGGGGGGTCAGTTAAAGTGATTATCAGTCCCTTGATTGGGTTGCCCGGGAGGAACGAGATGAATCCGAAGTAAGGCTGGACACATCCGATCAACTCCACTCCACTGCTCCTCCAAGGGCCGAGTTCCCTCCAAGGGCCGAATTCCCTCCGATGGTCGAATTTCCTCCAAAGGGCCGAGTTCCCTCCAAAGGGCCGAATTCCTTCCCAGAGCCGAATTTCCTCCGAATTCTCTCTCGGGGTGAGAGATGGATTGATCAAAGCCGGTTTGTTCTACTGGGAATGATGAAGTGAAGCGGGGTGTTTGCATGCTCGGCTGGGCCTTTGCCCATCACCCGCTAATGAGGCGGAAAATCCCCTCCATTCATCAGCGCTAATTTCCCCCGCGAGGTGAAACGTATCTACCTGCGAGATATGGGCTTCACGGGTGAAAAGGGGGACGGAGATTCAAAGGGGGGGGGGCGTTTCAATTCTTGTGAAAGGTCTTTGCTCAAAGGATTTTTGCTTCTTTCGAGGAGCTAATCCGTCTAATGTCCGGTTCCTTTATTTCCGAGTTTTATCTCCGAGTTTCTTCGGTGGATAAAAATAAACAGGGCCTCCTCCATTAGGGGAATTTCGCGCGAATCAGAAACTGCGAAGAAAGATGTGATGGTTTCTTTTCATGAAATTTCCGGGAAATGAAGACCGATTCGACCGCGGGACGCGGCATGGACATCACGAAAAGCAGAATTTTAGCAGAAACGACGAAATCATTTCTGTTGCCAAATCGCCGAATCTGAAGGCCTTCGATCTTCAAAATTTTCCCAATAATGCATACTTTCTCCCTCTGCTTCGTGCCTGTTCCGTTGCTGTGCAGATTTTTTCTAAGTTTCCTTTTCGTGACGTTACGTAAGCCATAACCTGCCACAAAATTTCCTACAGTTCGCACTAACGATATCTGCCGTGCCGTTCGGGTTCGAGCCGCGTGCGTTTTTGCGAAGATTTTTGAGCTCGCGACCCGCGAAAGACGAGCGAGAGAGACAATGTCCCCTTCCCTCCTTGCCCCACCCCCCGAAATTAATTCCTGGCTACGTCCCTGGCCTGGGCGATCCAGTAAGTTCCAAGAACTTGGACTTGGCATTCAGAGAAAATGCCTGCTCGAAGATGGCAGCACTGGTGCAATAGAACAAGTAGGGGGTGGGGGGGGGGGGGTGGGCAGTAGGGGGACCAGATCCGAGATGTTTCGTGAAATAAATTTTTACATTTTTTAATTTTGACTTTTCGGCCACTAGTTGGTATTTTCAATCGATATAGCGCCTGCAGAGAAATTGTCGGTTTCTTCCGCTACTGGTTCTTTCGGAGAATATGTCCGGTGAAATCCCGTGATAACGAAGGGGCAGGAGCGAGCAGGAGACCGTCTAATCGCGTCGTAATAAGGGAATTGTGGACGGGGGATACGAAATCGCTTCGTAGAATTTCGCCGTATCCGAGTGCTTCGCGACGGGGTTTTCCTGCATTTCGTCGGAGATTCGCCGACGCACGATTCCCTCAGACCCTTTGTCGAGCGGGGGCGGGGAGACGGGAGGCGGACTCATGAAATCTCCGTTGATGCATCTCTGGTGACGTCATGCAATCGTCCAATCCAGTGGGGAATGGTCGGTGGAGGCAGTCGGGCAGTTGGGATTTCATCATAGGGAGAATTGGAGAAACGGAGGCTCGAATATCCTCAGACCCCCCCCCCCCCCACCCCCCCAGTTGCGTCGTCTTTTCAATGGAGGGGGTTGGACGGGAGGATGCTGAGAAAGTTGTGCTCCGATTTTCTTTTTCATTGCTCAGCGGAGGAAGGGCTAGCGAGAACTTTCCTGGCAAGAATGATACAAAAATACGAAAATTCCCCTTTTTGTACCTTCCACGGCCGCCCGTCCCTCGGGTCACGCCGTTGGGTCACGCCGCTCGTGT